GGCCGCTCCAGCTCCAAGAACCGAGCCGACCTCCCCCTCCCCCACTGCCTCGCCCCCCGCCCACGCCCCGCCGCACGCCAAGCCATCGCCCCCTCCCTCGGCCGGCCACCGCCCGCAGCTGCCGACGCCGGCCACGGCCGTCGACCCGGCCAACCAGCACGGCAGGAGCCCCAACAAGTCCTCCACGCAGTCCGCCGGGGAGCGGGGCAAGGCCTCCGCCACGCCGAGCAACAACGGGGGGGCCAGCAACAGCGTCGTCATCGCCGTCGGCGCCGTGCTCGCCTTCCTGGTGGTCACCCTCATAGCGGCCGCCGTTCTCTACACCAAGAAGCGCCGGAGGGGGAGGGACGACTACCGCCCCGGGTTCAGGTCGCCGCCGTACTCTTCTTCAGAGCTACCACCCTCAGGTTCAGGTAATACTTCAAGTTCAACCTCAATGTGCTGAATGTGAATTCAGTGCACACTCACTAATTCAGTCAATCTTATATGTAAGTACATTTTTCACAGTTCCTTCGGGCGGCGGCTCGGCGAACGCGGCAATGTTGTCGTCGGCCGACCCCTCCGTCCACACCAACTACAGCGCCGGGAGCCCGAGACTGAAAGCGTGCCTGTCCGACATGAGCGTGGGCAACTCGCGCTTCTTCACGTACCAAGAAATGTACCAGATCACCGACGGCTTCTCGCCGCGCAATTTGCTCGGCCAAGGAGGGTTCGGGTCGGTGTACAAGGGCCGGCTGCCCGAAGGGAAAGACGTGGCTGTCAAGCAGCTGAGGGATGGCAGTGGGCAAGGGGAGCGCGAGTTCCAAGCCGAGGTGGAGATAATCAGTCGGGTGCATCACCGGCATTTGGTGTCTCTCGTGGGGTACTGCATTGACAATAGCCAAAGGCTGCTCGTCTACGATTTCGTGTCGAATGACACCCTGCATTATCATCTCCACGGTACGCTTGTTAACATTTTGCAATATTTGTGCAAAAACCATTGCCATATGTAACTTCTGGCTGTACAACAAACTGAGGTTGTTCTGAACTGTATGCGTTCGCAGGACAGGGAAGGCCTGTTTTAGAGTGGTCGGCTAGGGTTAAAATTGCTGCCGGTGCTGCTCGTGGAATAGCATACCTGCATGAAGATTGTAATGCTCTTTCTTACCTTTTCATCATCTTTCCCATTCTCATTCTGCTTTCTGTTAACCCGGCTGCCTTCTTTGCCCTTTCACAGGCCATCCAAGGATAATCCACCGAGACATCAAATCCTCAAACATTTTGTTGGATAATAACTTTGACGCACTGGTAATTGCATTCCCTATACGAGCCTGAGAGTATCTCATGATCTAGTTCATTTACTGATTACATGATATTCGTGAACTCCAGGTGGCCGATTTTGGTCTTGCAAGACTGGCTTTGGATGCTGTAACACATGTAACTACACGGGTTATGGGGACATTTGGGTGAGCAAAGTACTGCCGAATTCAGAAGCATATACTGTGATCATATAGAGTTGATGGCTAAAATGTTCTCCTTTTCTTGCAGATACATGGCTCCAGAGTATGCATCGAGTGGCAAATTGACTGAGAAATCTGATGTGTTCTCTTTTGGTGTTGTACTTTTAGAGCTTATGACTGGTCGAAAGCCTGTTGATTCATCCAGACCATTGGGTGATGAGAGCCTTGTTGAGTGGGTGAGTTATAGCACTCAACTTATTGCCTAAATTTGTTTTCACTTAGGGATCATCGAGCATATGTAGCCGATGCTTGATTGCATGTGCGTATCATATTGAAGGTCTCCTATTTGTTATTTGTTCACTAGGATAATCATTGTAGAAGTTATAAGTTGAAAATTTAATTCAGATGGGTAGTTTGTCTTTTGTTCACTAGGATAGTCATGCAGTACAGACTTGTTTCATCAGATGGATTTGTCATTGTAGAGGTTGTAAGTTGAAAATTTCACCTTAAATGCCCGGTTCCCGTATTTTGAGTAATAACTTACTAGGCATAGAAGTACATATGTTGGAAATACCACTCTTCATTCTTCGGATATGAAGTTACGGTGTCTAAGCCTGTGGCATGTCATAGTTGCTGCAGGCCTAGACCTGCTTCCTGTAGCATGATGATTTATCATGTACAGAAATATCCTGATATTCCTTCCTTACAACATTAATTTGGGTGCTTATTTGGTCTCTATTAAAATGAACTTGTAATTCCTCCCACATGTTCCTTCATTTAGTTGGTTTGTTCCTTTCCTTTTTCTTCTTCAAAACTATGCAAACTGACATTATTTGCAGGCTAGACCATTGCTTAGTCGAGCTCTTGAGACGGGAAAGCTGGAAGGGTTAGTCGACCCCAGGCTTGAGAGGAATTTCAATGAGGTCGAAATGTTCCGTATGATTGAGTCTGCAGCAGCCTGCATTCGACACTCGTCATCAAAGAGGCCCAGAATGAGCCAGGTACGCATGGCCATTGTCTATCTGACCACCTTACATTACTATATCATGTGGACATTCCTAGAGCCAATCAAATGAGATGCATGCTTGGGTTGGAGGCACAAACCACTGTTTGATAAACAAGGTTGATTTAGGTAGTCCTGTCCTTGTCAAATCCTTCTGCCATCAAGAATAAATTGTCCTTGTTAACGAAACATCGACATCTTAACTTCTGAGCCTTGTGGTGAATCTCGCACCACATCCAATGCACACACAGACAAAATTGTATGCCTTGCCAACTTTGCTTCCTAATCATGTAGAAGGAAAATTACACCATTTTATTTTATTTTATTTGGCCAGAGGATTAACAACTTGTCAATCATCTCACACTCCTTTCAGGTGGTGCGGGTCCTCGATAGCTTAGCGGATATTGACCTAACAAACGGTGTCCAGCCAGGGCAAAGCGAGCTCTTCAACGTGGCAAACACCGCGGATATCAGGATGTTCCAGCAGATGGTGCAGGGCAACCAGGACGACAGTTCCGCCTTCAGCCAATATAGCTGGATCAGTCGCAGTAGGGCCGACGCCGAAGCGACCTCCTCAAACTCCCGGATCTTGTGATCATCTTTGTTTCTGTGCTCCACGTGTACGTAGCCATTCTTCTCGACCCACTGATTCGGCCGGGCTGTGTCGACCATCGAAAAAAGTCTGGTGTAATTCTTGCCTTGTTACGATGATTGCTCGTGTGTAGATCACACGAGGAAGATGTACTCTTGTTTGACAAATTATTAAGCTAGCTGTTGTTGTGGTTGTTGACTAACTTGTTAGGCTGCCTGCTCCTGTTGCTGTTGCCTAACTGAAAGAGCACAATGTCTGAACTTGTGTAGTCTTTCCTTTTGTGTTGTTGGCTTGACAATGATGTTGAGGCCACATCTAAGGGAGAAAAGAAAGAGGATACTGATGATGACTTGTTCAAGTCTATTTGACTGACAACATAGTCTTGCTTTCTTCCAATATATTACCAGCATATGTATTGTATGATTTGCATGGTCAAGACGACGTTGATGTTTCGCTAACCCTAAAGATGATGATTCATTCATCTTCTAGATACATTGAAGTCTGGGGAGAGGCTACATTCTAAGACCAAGAAACCCTTGAAATTATTCTTTATGACCTCTCAAGCTGAAATATCTTTCATGATGGCGATTTCAGATCAACATCAGCTACTATGATACAGCAGCTAACATATACTCCCTCCGTTCCAAAATAGATGACCCAACTTTGTATTAACTTTAGTATAAAGTTGGGTCATCTATTTTGGAACGGAGGGAGTAACTAACAAATGAAAAAGTTGTCGAAAGGTACATAATTAAGATGTGTTTTTTCACTCAACTGTCAAGACTTCAGGCAAATCTCGAAACTTTTAACTATTTCCAAACTTCAACTCTACCTTCATGTAAACGATACACTGTTGATAACCAGCAGGAATCACAAAATTACCTTCAAATTCGCTCACTTTTATGTCACTCACCAGTGACAACCCAAGTTTGCACAGAAAATCTGAAGAGAAATATTAATCTTTTTATGTCTATCGTGATCACAATAAAGTGCTATTCTCTCAGCGTCCTCTTCAGATTCTGCCTGAGCAGAGGCAATCTGCATACACTATCTAATTATCTATGGGGAGGTTGAGGGAGTAAGACATACAATCTAAGTGAAACCTACATCCATACATCACAGTCTACAATCACTTATGCACCGTACAGTCCGGATTTAATCCGTGTGAAGTATTGCATTCTTCATTCCCAGCAGCCATTGACTGCAACTCCGCTACCGCTACCGCTGCGCAGCAAGCAGAGCATGCAAGGCCATCATGTTGTTCAGATGATAATACTTGTAGCGCAATCACCAGGAGCATGAGACCACAATCTTTTCTGATGATCGACATTCAGAGTCAGAGGTATTGATCCTTGATCGTCTTCACAAGCTCTTCAACCCTCTTGATAATTTTAGGGTTCATCAAGTCCCTTGCCTGCCCAAGGAGAGTGCCCTCCCTGCTGCTATAATATGCGTCGATTATAGCGCTTGCCCAAGTGTGCAATACCTCAGGACTCCTGCAATCCACCAGGTTATGTCAAATCGGTTTCGAGATTACACAAAATAATCTTTTTTGTGAAATACTAACAATACTTACGTGAATAAGGTATCGACATTCTCGCCTTGAAGTTCAGGACCAGGAGTAAAAGCGTCATTCAACGCACTCAGACGTTCTGCTGGATCCTCAATCATTATAAGATGCTTCAGTATTCTGATGTCCTTTGGCATTTGCCTCTGGAGATTGGCCACAGCAGTCATGTATAGATGGAACATTATGTCTTTTGCCTGCAGAATTTTGGTAGATCCCCTTAAACTTACGAATCTGTAAATGAGACAAAGATGGGAAAGAAGCATGAAAGTATTTGCAGCGCTAGATCCTTACGTCCGATTTTGTGATGTCGGTGCCCTTTGCAGCTGACCAAGCTTTTGAAAGCATCAACACCAACGCAGAGTCTAGTTCCTTCTTCTCGGCCAAGTCATCGATCTTTCGGCATGCAGCGTCCACTGAAGGTGAATTGAGTATGTCCTTTAGCTTTAGTTCCGCAACATTCAGCGCTTGAAGACTGCCAGACATGTCATCATGAGCTTGCAGAGCATCCACACAATCATTTCCAAGTGTTGCCAACTCTGCAAGCAAACCAATGAAGAGAGAAATGATGAACCAGGGAAACAATGGTCTGTCATAAGGACTCAGCAAGGTAGCAAACGACTGTCCTAACCGACACTTTGTGTTTCTCTGTTACATGACATCAGGAGTGGAATAAGCCATCAAAGGCAACAGTCAAGACATGAAAGAGGAAAGAGGTCAAATTTGCAGAAAAATGGTAATCAAATTCTCAAGTGTCTCACCTTTTTGCTTAGCAGGCTCATCCTTATACGACTCTGCGACATAATAAAGGTGGTTGAAAAACTCCACCGTGAAATCTTTACGGCGCTTAGCAACAACATCACCAATTTTGCCAGATGGTGTGGATTTCACTAATTCAAATAGTTCATTGTGCCTTTGTACGTCCTCGTCTACCTGAAAAGCATAGAGTGACGTACCATTAATAAGTGCTAAGTTAAATAATGTGTATCCTGTAAATAAGACACACCACTAGCAAGTGCCAAGTTAAATCATAAAAAACTGAATCGTCAAGTGTATCCTGTAGATAAGAAAGACAACAACACCTCTTTCAGTTTTCTAGCCAGCCTGAGAAGGCCGTGCTTCATCTCAGGATTTGTTTCCGCATCTGCTCTCTCCTGGCAGCGCTTGAAAAAATGCGGCCTTATGTTGTCCCACTCCCTGCTGAACGCCAGCAATTTCCTCCAATCCGTCGGTGTAGGCTTATCGACCATGAAGACGCCAATCAACTTATCAGATATCTTGACCATTTTTCGGTTGATGTTGGCTGTAGTAGCCTTGTGGTTCTCCTTGCCCGCGCTTCCTTCAGAAGGATGATCTTCTTGGTGCGATGAAGCGGCGGCCATATGGCCATTCGCGTATCCACTGCTTGACGGCGTGTTCTCTGTGTAATCGTCGGGCACTGCTGCTGCTGCCACGTCGCCGACCGCTTCCACGTTGGAGCATCGTGGCTGGGGAAGGCCACGGAACATGTGTTGTCCTGAGATGAGGAGAAATGGCAGGAATGTTACCGTTCTGTAAAAGGTGTTGCAATTTTTCAAAAGTAGCTCAAGAGGGACACAAATACTGTATACTGCACACATATGACCAGACAGACGTAATTCACTGCCAACCGCCTAACAAGTTGATAATATGCAGGAACTCCTGAAGTTCGGTGCACGGGTTAGGCAGGATGGGTCAATTAACAGACAAAGTTTTAGCCTTTTGCTGTTTCCAGAGGGACAAGAGGGGGGCAGGTGCCATAACCAGATAACCACCTTAACCCAGTAAATTCTGAACAAGTGGACATGAGAATTTCAGGAAACAGTTGTAGCAAATGGCTGCAGGAAATCAAAGCATATACAACTAGTGACACAGTTATAGCTAATTTAGGAGATTATCAAACTAAAGAAAGCATTATCGTTTGACAATAACCGTTAGCACAGCTGAATTGAGAACGAGAGCAGTAAAATCCACTGCGAAGTTAGCATAGCAAGCAACCATGTATCGGTGGACAGGCATGAAGAGGGAGCAGAGGAACGTACCATCGCCGGCGGGGGCGCAGGGAGGAGGGGTGTAAGGGAAGGCGGCGCAGGTGAGGTATATGGGCGGAGGGCGGCGGAGAGGGAAGGAGCAGCAGGGGCGGGGTCGCCGGAGCGAGCCGGAGGTGGAGGTGGAGGTGCCGGCGGCGGCGGCGGCGAGGTAGGGTAGGGAGGCGATAGCAGCAGCAGCGTGGTCGGGAGTCATGGTGGTCTCTGTCTGTCTGTCTGTCTGTGAGACAAGAGACCGCGCAGCCCACTTCACTTGTCTGCCGCATGCAGACCCATCCAAAGCCCAATGGGCCGCACCCCCCCTGAACGCCTCTTGTATTTCTGTCCACTCCTAAATTCTACCTACTTCAAAACGAAAAAAAACCCAACTTAAAAAAAAATCTTTTAGATGCTCTCTGAACTTTGAACTCCCCTGTAAGGGCCTCTTTGGATTGTGAGATGTACATACGAATCTTAGGGTAGGGATACCTAATCCTTATTACGATATCAACAACTTTTCCTTTTTTGCAATTTTTGATTGCTCTATTCATGTTTTTAATTACTCTATGTGTGCCTACCTCTGCCCGCGTCATATTCATCAGGCTAATAATTAATTTGACCGTTTCTTTCTTCCACCACTTCCTCCGTCAATTGTTATGCCTTTTTCCTGAGACATGTTGCCTGCCTCTGCCCGCGTCGCCCCCGCTCGGGCGACTCGGGCAGGATCTAAAACCCTAGCCGCCGGGGGTCCCCATCCGTCCTCCCCTCCCTCCGCCGCTGCCGAAGGACGCCGCCGGCTATAGCCCGGGGCTGATGGCGGTGGCGGGGGTCTTCCCTCTTGCCTGCGCCGTGCAGGCGGTGCGGAGCCCCGCGGCGTGGGTGGCACGGCCGATCTGGCCTGGCGGCGCGGCGGGCCTGCCTTCCGGCGGCGGCGTGGCGTCTGCCTCGGCCAAGGGCGGCGATGGCGGGGTGCGGCAGCCGGCCCTGTCTCGGGCTGCGTGGCGGCGTTCGGCGGCGACGGCCGGGTCTGCGGCGACACACCATCTGACCTCGGATCGGCGATGGCGGCATGGAGGGCCTGGTGGTTGGGTCGGCACCATGCGGGTTGTGCCCTCCGGACAGATCTGATCTGGCCGGTGCAGCCTGCGCCATGTGCGGCGGCTCAGATCGACGGCGACCCGTGTGCACAATACGTGATGGAGGTTCTTCAAGAGGATCCGGGTGAAAACGTTGTGCTTGGCTTGATGCCAAGACCGGCGTTTGGTGGCACCCTGTGGTGTCATTACCTTCTTGAAGGCATCGCCGTGGAGAAGCTCTAGACCTCTATCTGCTACCTCCGGGGGAAACCCTAGATCAGTTGATCGGATGACGGCGGCGCGTTGGTGTCGTTTCCTCCTTGGGGGCGTCATTCTTGGAGGCGTACACGGGATCGAGGGACCAGCGGGCGCCTTTTTTGGTGGAGTTGTACTTCATCCTTCACATTGATGACGGCGGATCTCGGCGGCGTGGTGCAGTGGAGACTCGGCGCCCGATGCGCGGTGATGGACTCGCGCAGGTGGAGGTAGTTGTCTGGCGTCAAGGTGGCGTCGATGACGGAGTGGCCTGACAAGGTAGAAGCCTCAATATCTGCTCTGAAGACGGACCCGTGGAAGATGGCGGCGACGATAGATGTGAGTGCGTCAGACCAGTTTATGCCCCAGACCCGGTATGTGACTCGGCTGGGGCTTCTGGTTTTTGATGATAGGCTTAGGTGAGTAGACCGGGTATATGGCCCAGGTAGCACCCCTTCATCATATGGATAGGAGTAGTGGCATATGTTGTCAAGATGACGGATTTAGGCATATTATTGTAATACTTTGTAAGGTCTTCGAGAATAATCAATAAAGTGGCCGTATGCATTTTCCAGATGCAGAGGCCGGGGGTCATTCTTTTTTTCTAAAAAAAATAGTCAACTAGTCAGCGAGTATTGGTCAATTCATACATATGCATCTCCATCTCCATCACACGTGATTCTTCATGAGATTCTCTTCTACTAGTCATAGAAAACATCTTGTACTCCATTACACATGGGTCACCCGTATAGTTTAAGATATTTATATTTTGTACTCGCAAAACGTGTAGATTTATCGAGTATCTTGTAGCTGTTGTAATCTTATTAGGTTTATCAATACTTACTAAAAAAACAAGTGGCAAGGTTGCGTTTTGGAGGCCACATCGCTGTCAAAAACGCCAAATCTTTCAACTTTTGTAGGTGTTACTTTCAATCTTTTAATATATTTGTCTATAAGTAGGACAAATTAAAAAAAATTGACTTAGGACAAAGCTAAAACTTCAAGTAATCTGAAATGTAGGGAGTACGAAAAAGTAATTTGAAATGGAGGGAGTACAAAATATATAATCATGTAAGTTCATTTGTTTAAAGTTTTTGGATTTTAAAAATTGTCCATACACGTGGGAATATATGTATGTGGCCACTCCCTCCCAAAAAGCTAGAGTTCGCTGTCTCCGGCCGGCGCCGACATACACAAGATCTTGTACTCCATTACACATGGGTCACCCCATTTAGTTTAAGATATTTATATATTTTCTTGCGGGGAAAGATATTTATATTTTGTACTTGCAATGAATTGTGTATACTTATCGCGGATCTTGTAGCTATTGCAATTTTTTATTAGGTTTATTAGTACTCCTTCCGTCCCAAAATTCTTGTCTTAAATTTATACATATGTATCTATTCACGTTTTAGTGTTAGATACATCCGTATCTAGATAAATGTAAGACGAGAATTTTAGGACGGAGGTAGTACTTAAGAAAGAAACAAGTGGCAAGGTTGCGTTTCAGAGACCACGTCGCTGTAAAAAATGCCAGCTTTTCAACTTTTGTAGGTGTTAATATATCTTTCTATAACTAGTTCAAATTTAAACAAGTTTGACTCAGGACAAAGCTAGAATTTTAAGTAACTTCAAACAGAG